TATGCTAAAATAATAAATAAACAAGCAAATAAATTAATAAATAAATGGACATACAGGATTACCAACAGAGCAGTTCAGTGTCACAAACACTTTTTCTTTTTTTTTCTATTGTGTTCTTTGGCATTTCATGGAGTACAATGAATACCATGATACTTGAATATGTTATTTATTAATTTTCAAAATATTACCATGGCACCACTATACTACATTTTGTTAGGGGAATCCAACTTTCATTTTATGTCAGACTTAATGTTTTGGCTTGTGTGTGTTGTGTTCTACTGCGCGTGTATTGATTGTCAGTACATTTATTGCTCACCCTCACTGCTTTAGACACGTGTTGTCTGCACATCTGATCAAGTGTGGTTTGTGGCATGCTGAAAGCCACCGCCTCTATCAGCAGGCAGAAAGTCATTATCGTTCACCACACATCTGTCCATCAATACTAAATCATTAGGGCCGTCAGTGGTTCTCTTACGTATTGTAAAAAGCTGTGTTTGGTTCCATCCATCTCCCTCACCCCATCCCCGCTTGTGTGTTTGATCTATAAGTAGACCATTTGTACATGGCATATTAAGTATCGATGTGGGAAATTGGAAAAATTAGTGTTGGGGATTAAAAAGGTCAGTAAACCTGATTTACCAAGGCACTCTTGACATGAGTGTGTTTGGGTTACACTAAATGTGATCAGTGGATTGTATGACAGTTATCGATCATGTCAGCACAATGAAGTGAAATACATTTATAAATCTGGCCCAAACTGAGATGTAATTCATACAAAATAGCTGCTTTGATTTTACGTTGCCTTTATTGATCCTGAATGTCCATATGTCCATATGAAGTGAATGTAATCACATGCGCATCTGTATGCAGCTCTCTGCAGGAACAGAAAGAAGACCTGCGCAAACGTCTCTCCTACACAACTCATAAGCTGGAGCTTTTAGAGCGCGAGTTTGACTCCACGAGACAGTACCTGGAGACCGAGCTACGCCGAGCCCAGGAGGAGCTCGACAAGTTCACCGACAAATTACGCCGGTAAGAAGAGCGTACACAATAGCATCTGGCTTTAAAATAGTGTGGCTTTCTATTCACATATGGAAACTCACTGAACAATTTATCAGACAGGACAATCAACTTGGCTGCATCCCAATTCGCTTACTTATACTATGCTCTCAAAGTATGTACCTGCTGTTGTTGCAAAAGAACACGGCAGTATGTAAGTGCTAACATCTATCCAAATTGATCACCATAAAACTTACTCATCTTTAAGGTAGTGTAAAAAAAAGTATTTGCACCCCTCCTGATTTGGATTTTTATTGCATGTTTCTCTCACAGTATGGGTTTATATTAGTCAAAACACAAAGTGTACACAACGTGTCCAAATATGCCTACTTATGTTCTATACAGTAGGCAGTAAACCGTCCGTGAAATGAGTAGCATGTCTAAATTTGTAATGTTCATAAAACACTACTACAGATTACCTACTTGTTTCGCCTACATTTCTGAATTGCACATCCAGTGGACACTTTACTATCCCATGAACCCATGGGAGAAGATTTGTGAATGGCAGTGAAGTGAAGCAACTGATGTATGTTACATGACAAAGCCAACGTTGTGGATGTAGTACGTCCGAATTTCATTCATACAACACACATTCATCCTATATATAGAAAAAAAAAAAATTCCGGTCACAAAGTTTGTTCCTCAACAAATTTTGTACCTACTTAGACAATATGCCATTTAGGACTTTTAAATCAATGGAATTTATATATATATATATATATATATATAAAGTCAACAAAACAGCTGAGAACAGTCTTTGTGCTTTCATCGCGTTTGCTGGAAAGCACTTTAGGAACTTTGAGATAATATCCTATAGACACAAATCAAAATGTACATTTTTGGAGGTTGCGAGTCTTCTTGTAAAGAAGTCAGTAAACAGTGAAACATGATGGTGGCACTGTGATTGTATTGGGATATTTTGCAGCTGTCTATCTGGGGTGTGTTTCCCAACAGCATCGTTAGCCAAATATGGTCGCAAGCTACCATCATTACCAACATAGTTCAACGATTTGGTGTTTTCCGAATCTATAGTTACAATGAATGTTCGCAAACAGCATAAGTTGTGTGGTTGGAACTACAGCTTTCAACCTGTGCTTAGAAGCATAGTTTCTTTTTAGTAAGACATTTACATTTACATTTAGTCATTTAGCAGACGCTTTTATCTAATGCGACTTACAAATGAGGACAATGGAAGCAATCAAAATCAACAAAAGAGCAATGATATGCGAGTGCTATAACAAGTCTCAGTTAGCTTAACGCAGAACACGTAGCAAGGCTTTTTTGTTGTTGTTTTTTAAATTGTATAATATAATAAAAAGAAAACAGATAGAATAGAAAAAGAATAGAGCCAGCTTTTCTTTTCTTTTTAAAGAAAACAAGCAGTTAGTAAATGAATAGAGTGCAAGTCTACAAGGGGCAATTTTTTTTTTTTTTAAAGAATATAATTAGAATAGAGAGTGCTAGAGTTAGAGGGTCAAATAAAGATGGAAGAGATTATTTTAGCCAATTCTTGAAGATGGCTAAGGACTCAGCTGCTCGGATTAAGTTGGGCAGGTCATTCCACCAGGAGGGAACATTTCATTTAAAAGTCTGAGAAAGTGATTTTGTGCCTCTTTGGGATAGCACGATAAAGCGACGTTCACTTGCAGAACGCAAGACATATGGTCTTGACCAAAATAAGCAAGCTAACATGATGTGCAATCTATATTTTTTCAGTCCATATATATACACATTTAATTAAATGTCTTCTACTTTAAGAGAATTAACACATAATTTCTGAAATATGCATAAGAGTGTATTTGCTCTATATCGGGGAACCTGGAGTCATGTAAGTGAAGCCGCTAAATAAAGGAGAACAAAAATGGTGAAGCAGTCCTTGATCCTATGTTCATTATTTACAGCAATAATCTGACAGTAATTTGCTTAATATCATTAATGACAGTTCTAACCAATTTGGTTCGAATGATGTATGTGACAAAGTTCCCATTTTCAGGAAACAGTCTTGACTAGTTAATCACGATGAGCTTACAACTAACAAGTCTTTATTTAAAAAAAAAACAAAAAAACATTTAGTCTGAAAGTTTTAGAATAGTTTGCAAGGGCGCAATTAAAAACACAACAAGGCTGTAAAAGCAGACGAGCGGGTAAATAAGTTTACCTATTCTCTGTGATAACGTTAAATGTCCTGACAACCCTTGTAGTCCAATTTAAGCATTTGCAACTGCCATTTTCAAGACAAGTCAAAGCTTTTTAAAAAACACTGATGTATTACTGATGTATTTTGAAGAAAAATTTCAGGCATTTAACCAAAAACCCATTTAACAAAAACATTGACTTTAGGACGATAGTACCAGAAGTGTTCTAAATGCTAACATGTTTACTGGTTTTAGCCTACTGCCTAAACTACCTCTATGACCCCGTCCCAAATCGCACCACCCTAAACCCTTGCGGTCTTCCTCTGGGTTCACACTTTCTTGACGTAATGCCACTTTGACTGTTGGGTAGAAGTCTGCTGTGGCGCTCACCTCAGTGCGGGCTCGGCAGAAATATGCATTGAGGGCACATAGTGGCTACAAAGGGGACGCTCGCAAGCACTATTCTGAAAGCTAAAATGATGAATGGGACTCACTACGGCAGGGGTCTCCATCCCTGCTCCTGGTGAGCTACCTTCCTGCAGATTTCAGCTCCAACCCCAATCAAACACACCTGAAGCAGCTAATCAAGGTGTTCAGGGCTACTTGATAATTACAGACAGGTGTGGTGGAGCAGAGTTGGAACCTAAGTCTGCAGGACGGTAGCTCTCCAGGACCAGGGTTGGAGATGCCTGCGCCCTAGACACGTGGACTTTTAAAAATTCCCATGGCAGCTGCCCTCATGTTCCTTTTCTTCCACTTAAAAAGGTGGCTCTGCCCTAATATTTAAACATACTATAACTTGGGATGCACTGTTTCTAACCTTGCCTACTATTGTGGATGGATAGTAAGTGAATTGGGACACAAAGATTGTTTCACTTCACTTGGCTGATGCCAAGTGCGTAGGAGTTAGTTATACAGTTACAGCCTGGCCATGTGTTGGGCTCATTGGTCCATTGTAAAATAATGTTATGAATTGATACCACAACAGATACCATAATATAATGCGGAAGATGAACAGGTGGTGAGTTTTGGCAACCAACTTGTGATTGTCTAACAGTGTCTATGGAAATAAGGAAAGCGTTTAAGACATTCCAGTGCGTGCTGGATTTGAAAAAAATACGTTTTGTTCATGTGTTTCCCACAGAATACAGAGCAGTTACTCAGCACTGCAGAGGATCAACCAGGACTTAGAGGATAAAATCCAACGAAATGTGAGTGCACACACCGGCCACACTCTAAAAAAGCACAAATTATACAAGAGGTGTCTGGGTGAGCGCACACGCACTGCTTTTTGTTTTAATGTGTGAATGTTTTTGTTTGCATATGTGTTCACGAGTACTCATCTCCCTCTTTAAGTGTTTTTCGGATGAAAGTGTTTACATCACTGTCCACACTTCTGTCCATGTGTGTACGTGTTTTCAGGTGTGAAAGATTAGGGAATGTGTTAAACATGTACAATAGTGCTGAATGCGGATTCTATTTCTATATCAATACACTGCCACTGGTGCGCCTGATGTTAATTATAGTCCATTACATCAGCCTGTCCGCCTTCACATGACAGTGTGATAGTGAGTCTATTATACTTGCAAAATCTGCATCACAGCCTGTTTGTTAATTTGAAGTTAGAAGCAATTAAAATAGAATTAGCCTGCCTGCTGCAGTACATTGTATGACCATTACATGTCTGTATTAGGATCCACCCCTCAGGGTTTACTCTGAGTTTGTTATAGTAAACACATTTTTAGCAACAGATTGCAACCATAAATATGTCAGTGATGACCCTGAAGGTTATGGGTTCAGGTATGAAAGGAAAATCATCTGATATCAGCCTTCTATTGACGTTCCTTTGAGTACGCCGATTAAGTCCCATCTGCTGCAGGAGTATCCTAGAATGACTTAACACATGCATTGACTTCTCCCTGTGTGAAGTTGTCTGTATTCATACTGGTGTTCTATCAGGGCATATATTATTGTAAATGCATATCACATAGGTTTCTTTTTTTTCTGAAAATGTGCTCCTTTCATCCAGTCACAGCACCACGATGATGAGAAACGGGCTCTTAGCAGAGAAATCATCGTCCTTAACAATCATCTCATGGAAGCTAAGATGACCATTGAGAAACTGAGAGAGGACAATGTAAGAGAAATAATGACTGTGATTTCTTTTACACACTGAGGCTTAATGGCAGCCCTTTAGAGGACTGTGTATTTGCTTTTCGTTATCTAATGTTCCTTTTCTACCACTCTCAATAGGACTTATACAGAAAGGACTGTAACCTGGCTGCACAGCTCTTGCAGTGTAATAAGTCACTCTACAGAGCCCAGTTATCTGAGGTAAGTTAGCACACTGTACCTTTATTTGAGCAGATGTTGCACGTATTATGTTTATGGGTACTACAGTATGCAGTAATTTGTGACATGAAACACTTGTTAGCTTCATTGTTTCCTTTCTTTAGTTAAAATATTTTTAATTAACCCATGATTTTATAAGAATGAAAATTTTTTAATTGGTAGTCATTTTAAAACTTTTCCATCTTGTTAGGTTCTATCCTGTTAATTTTCTTGCCAATGTGTAGATTCATTATAATTAATACATGTATTTACAATTAATTGATTGTAATTAATTTCATGCCTGAGCTTGACCAGAGCATATTTCAAAAAGATAGAAATACATCTTTAAATTAAAACAAAGGCAGTAATAAAACATGTACTTCCCCATTATATGGACATTAGATTTCTTTCATTATGACAGATAAAAATAAGGTAAGTGTCCTTATTTTAGAAACATTCTCATAACAAGGGATGCTAATAGGTAAAATAATAATAATAATAATAATAATACAGATCCATTATTGCTTCTGTGGTACTCTAACATGTATGAGCTGACTTTACTTATCTGTTCAGTTTTTGAAAATGAAGTATCTAAAAATTAAATATACATTCTGAAATGTAATTGGATATGTCTTTTTAACGACAACGAATAACAAACCCACTCTGTCAATGTGCTGGATAATAGTTTTTTATAGCACAACTTCTGCTCCAAGGTCTTTATATAGCCTATTTGGATGTCATCCACACAATGTCTTTTCCAAAAAATATTTTATCTAAATAAACCCAACTATCCCCTTTAGTGCAATATTGTTTAACCACTAATTCTGTTAGCTACAGAAACATTGTTTGAAAAACTGATATTAATGTAGGAAATCAGGAAGCAATATTATTTTTATTTAGTGGGATCTACTAATATTTAGGTCAACCATAGTAAATCAAGTTCTTGTTTAAAGAAAAATTGAGGTTCTGTCCCAATTAAGAATGGGTGACTCTTCTGGCAAGGAAAAAGTGGGAGGATGTTTAAGTAATAATAGTGTGTGCCAAAAAACCTGGCCGTTTATTCTTCAAATCTGCTCCAAGCCTTACGCCAGTCCCATGATGTGTAGAGCACATATGTTGGAATGCTGCCTGCTGTAAAAACCTGTTCATATTTGGCAGATATATTTGAATGGAAACATCAATGTGTCTGTTACACAATGTGTTCAGGGAATTCAGCCTTGCATATTGTTTTATATGAAAATGTCAAAGATTTGGCACTAAGCATTCGTTAAAATAGTTGGACAAAAGGTGTCTCATGTGGTTATGAGAAAAAAAAAAGTTTCTGAATAACCATCGAGCATATTTTTAAAAGCAGCCCAAAAAGTCTCAAAAGCAACAACACTCATAAGGTCAACAGATGTTGTATGAATTAGATATCAAATCAGATTTGTTGAACCGAGACCAACCCTATTGATTTTGGAGTAAAATTTTTGCTTTGTCTTGACTCATCATGTTTCTATAATTAGCCATGTACTGTTAGCTAATTAGCTGCAATTTACTTTCTTCTTGTTGCTATGGTGAAAAAACTGAGAGATAAAAAGGTTTGTGATATTGAATTGATGCCTAGTACTCTGTGTAGTGTCAGTGATAATGAAATCTGTGGTTTTCCCTAGGGCCAATTTTCGCTAAATGAAATACTAAAAACCATGTACTTACGTAGGCCATTTGTACGGACTTGTCTGAAGACTTAATACTGGCCTTTAACAATATCTTTGGCTGTCTGCTTTGTAAACATCTGTGTTCACTGGGTGCTTCTGTTTCATTCCCCAATCTCTTGCATGTTTCTTGCTAACTTCATACTGATATTGACCTTACCTAAGCTATTATTCCCTTCTTATCCTTTCCAGATAGGTTTCCATAACAGCCTAACTTTTTCTCTTTTTGTGCGAGTCTCTCAACACTTATTGTTCATTGGGTACATCTAATGGAAATCTGTGTTTTACTCTCTCTCAGTTGCCTGCAGAGTTTCAGGAGCGTGTAAGCTTGCACATGGAGGGTTCTTCCCTCTGCCATTCCCCATATGCCGACACAGTGCCTGCCTCTGTCATTGCTAAGGTCCTGGAGAAACCAGACGAGGTCTGCAGCAGTCAAGCCTCTCGCTCACCCAGCCCACAACCCCAGGAACGCCAGGGATTCCTCGTGGGCACAAGCCTTGTGGGTAGCACTGAGCGCCTTGGCCTCCGAGCTACTTACAAGTCAGACCTGTATAGCAGTGACACAGCGCTTTATTGCCCTGATGAACGGAGACGAGAGCGCAGACCCAGCATGGACCTTCATGGACAGCGGACAGTGTATGAACCCCAGAACTCCACTGACAGCAACCCAGAAGAGGGATCCATGTCCCTGCAGCCTGGCTTCTCCCAGGACCACTTCCGAAAGTTTACAACCTCTCTGGGAGGAGGCTCTAGCTCTTACTCAAGTTTTAGTGGAGGAGGGTCAGAGGACAAGGGGCAGGATCCTCCGAGCAGTGCTGCATCTTCTCCGCGCCACCAAGCGCTTTACATGGACTGGAGGGATGGGGGTGAATACGAGCACAAGAGCGACTCTTCCTGGGAGAGGGAGAGTCCAAGCACCTTTACGAAGGCCCATACTTTTCAACCGCCTGAGTCCAGCCACCATCAGAATGGTAGCTCACCCATCTACAGCAGAACAATGTCCTCATGTTACAGTGAACCTTATGAGCCCCTGCCACCTTCCACCTCCCCCAGCATCACCTATGGTGACAGTCGCCGTGGAAGCGCTTTTAATCCTGAGGAAGAAGAGCTGATTGGTCGGTGGAGGCAACTGAGTGTGGAGGACCTGAGTGCCCATTCATACCGTAGTCCCGGCCGGGCATCACCCTACAGCTTCTCTGAGCAGCACTTCTCTGTCCGGCCTGCAAAAATTCGTCTTGGTCCTCTCTACAGTAGCTTCCAGGAAGGTACTGATGTATACCACCATCACGCCGGGGTACTAGATCCCTTCTCTATCCCCAGCCCTGATTGCAGCCCAGGCTTACGGCAGCAGCAGCAAAGCCAACCTCACCTTTACTGTTCCAAGGAGGATAGCCAAGAGTCCGAGCACAGCCTCTACAGCCCCAAGGACGGTGGGGTGGCAGCTGGGGGCCAGGCAACGGAGTATGTTGACGTAAGTCCCAACAGTTCAAATGAGTCACTGGACCATGGATCTCTGGAGATGGGTGCTGAGCTACAGCATTACCAACCCGAGAGGCACAGCGTGTCTCCTCAGGGAACCACTCCACCACCACCTCCACAACAACCGTACCAAAAATTTGGCACACTAGGGCTGTCACGTAAGGACAGTCTCACCAAGGCACAGCTCTATGGTACTCTACTAAACTAAGAGCAGGGTTTCCTGGTTACTCTCTTTTGTCAGAAGGTTTTGAATGTTAAGCTACAGTTTGAGCCAAACATATGATGGGATTTTCTGTTGAATATTTTCAGTCCATAAGCTCACTTATCTTTTTTCTCTCTATTTCTGTATCTGTTACAGTGTTTTCTAAACATCGAACATACTTTGCTTATGTTTCTACAGTTGATATGAAGCTCTAACACTCAGCACTATTTGTATAGCCTATTTTGAAAGTTTATTAATGGTTCTGTGTGATTTGTGGGAAAGTATTTTAAGTGCATTGGGTGCATTATGAATTTTTGGAAACTTGTCTGCAGAGAGAGAGATTAACTTTGTTTTACCAAAAGCCTTCTGGGCTCTTAAGGGTTTCTGAATGAACAACACATGCTATGTAAAAAGAAATGCTAATTTTGACAAGAAATTTGAACTTTTATTATTTAACTTATGACTAGCTGTATTTATTGTTAAGTATGCTATATCTATAATTGTTTAATAAATGTAACACTATGGAGAGACTGACAAATCTATATAATTGTAAAATATTTATATTGCTATGAATAAGGCAGTCAGCACAATTACACATGCTGCAAACAATTAAAAATGCCCCAAATGAGTTAAGTCAAAATAACAATTTGAGATTTCACTGCGACCCATTGACAGATCGTTCCACAGGTTTGTGAGTGAGACCTTATGAAAATATTTTTGAGAATAAACTCTGCATGGATTCATATTACCCTAAGTCAGCCCTTCAAGATCAAGTCCCAACCAAAGCGATACTTCTAATCTATTTCTATTTCAAATAGATTTGATACTACTCAAGTCTATTACAACATGAAACAAGTACAGTTTCTTGAAAGCACTGGGCATTTATTTAACTCCTGATGTGTTTTGTTGGGTGATGGAATTTCCGAGGTGATTGTTCTTTTCAATGTTTTCTCTTTTGTTTCTCAGTGCTGTAAGCCCCTCCCTCAGGCCCTCTCTACCTCACGATTCAATCCCTCGCTTCTTTCTTAATCAGCTGGGATCCTGTGTCAGTTGACACAATGATGCATGACTCTGTTTCTTCTGTTTTGCTTTCTATATCTAATAAAGCACAATAGTTGCACAATGCCTGTCTCTTTAACTCTCTTTTGTTTCCTGCACTGCTCCTGTTGGGTAGTAAAGCTTGCTGCTGAGGTGTATTGGGGAGAATTTATAATTTAGAGTTCTGTTTCCTGCATGAAATGACCGCATTCAAAGGAAGGACCTTGGTCCTCCTCCACAAATGACAGACTTCTTTTCCAGCATTCAATTTATTCCGTTTTTAGAGAGTAACAGAAGCACAGCATTTACACACAAAACATTTCATGTTAGTGCATGTGATTAAGGACAGTAGCCTGTAAACATCCTACTCCTCCACTGCGAATGAAAATGATCTAATAATGGCTAATGCACAGGAGTATATAGCGGAGGTAATGAAATTTATACAGCCATTACTCTGAATCACTTTTTTATTTGAGTAGTGACACCCCACTATCTGCAGAGCCACAACCTACGTGTTTCCTTTTTCATTTCGTTTGGACACTGGGATGTCAAACATTTTCAAATATATCTTGAAATGAGTCACGGGGTGGGAGTTGCCAAGTTTACTTTAGAGCATTATGAGAAGAGAATATTCTGGGAGGCTAAATTGTCTCTAGTTCACTTCATAGATGAATAGGTCTGTCAAATTAATTGCTGAACAACATTCAACAATCTTGATGTATTGTAATAACTTGGTCACAAAGCACCACTTAATCTACATTGAGAGATATACAATGGTGTTCGTGTTATTCTGTATTAACGATAGCTTCTATGTTTCTTGGGCACACTGCTCCTGTCATTTGTATTCAAGGGATATGTAGGACTTGATACTTTCAGGCTCTCATTCACAGAGTAGAGTGAGTCACAAGCCTGAGGCCATCTCTGAAAACACTGCAGCAAAGATACAGGGGAACAGATGGACATTTTAATTTCCTGTCTGTTATTCAGCAAGTCCCTCAGGTACTTCGCCAAAAACACATCCCAAAAAATCCATTGCACTGATGTTCGAGATTTGCATTTGCCACATTTGTGAAGGGTGGTTCTGCTTCGTCCCCTCACCTCCTAAGACCCACCATGCTTTCACTTAGGTCCCAGAGCCGTTTAGCAGTATGGTCATCGGTGGCTTTAGAAAGCAATTGTTCTTCTTCGCAATTAGCGAAGCATTTTCCAGACACACCCTCAACTTCCGGCGAGCATGCCAGGTACAGTGGGGTCTGAGCACCCTCCAGTGGGCTTTTGAAGAACAACCAAGAGACCAGCAAAAAAAGAGGCTTAATAAGCAGGGGGATGTTGACGTGCCGGCCCAATCTGGTCCTTACGATACCCGGAGTGAGGGCATTTACAGTTACCCCAGTACCATCCAGCCTGCATGCCAGCTCGCGGGTGAATAGTAGGTTGGCAAGCTTGCTCTGGCTGTAGCAAAAAGCTTTGTTATAATTCTGTTCACTGTTCAAGTCCTCGAAGTTGATGCTGCCATACTTGTAGAGCTTGGAGGAGACCACGACGATACGGCTGGGAGCCGACTGCTTCAGGAGGTCCAGCAAAAGATTTGTCAGAAGATAGTGACCCAGGAGGTTTACTCCCAACTGCATTTCATATCCCTCTTCTGTCCTACTGTAGGGACACTGGTAGAGACCAGCGTTGTTGATAAGAACATCAATCCTCGGCTCCTCCTAACACAATTAGGAGTTTAGAAATTTTAGTTTGTGCACATCTAATCACACTTAATTTATCTAGTGTATAAATGCAATACAGAAAGCAAACAACTTAAGACACATGAAAAATTATGTGGTAAAACATACAGTCGTTTAAGTCGTATAAGACTGAAATGTAAAAATACTGATAGACTAATATCCTCAAGTCTTCTGGCATGCTGTTTCAGAGGCAAAAACTGTGGCTGGTGAAAACCTCAAGGAGGCTGTCTGAAGAGGTTGTCTTGGGACAGAGGTATAAGTGGGAAAATGCTATTCTATCCAAAAGAATTTTATGTAGCCAGATATTAACTCGCTGCAGAAAACTTAACTAAAATGGCTTCATATAAATGTCTGATAAATCTAAAATGGGACATTGAGGCTGGTTGTCACATGGGGAAGTTCTCACAGTGGCTGTATGTCAGTAACTTAAAAGTTTTTAAGGTTTTAAGTAAAACCAATATGGCATGCATTATATTAACTATATAATGAAGCTCAGGCCTGATGGCATGTGTTGTGTCATAATTTCATTTATTTTATCAAATAGCTGTATTTATTGTTAAGTATGTTACACCTATTAATTTTTAATAAATGTAACACTATGGAAAGATTGAAAAATCTATGTAATTTATTTATTTTGCTTTAAATAATGCAATCTGCACAATTATACACACTGCAAACAATTAAAAATCCCTCATATGAGTTAAGTCATGATAACAATTTAAGATTTCACTGCAACCCATTAAAGGATTGTTCCACAGGTTTGTGAGTGAGACCTTGTAAAAATATTTTTTGAGTATAAAATCATGGATTCCTATTACACCAAGTCAGCCCTTCAAGATCAAGTCTTAACCAAAGTGATACTTCTAATCTATCTGACACTTCTAATCTGTTATAGTTCCATAGAATTCATTAATTTGGCCAAAATAATGGTTTGGCAATATTTAATGTTATTTTTTTTTCCATCTCTGCTGTTTCATGTTTAAAGTTTCATGAAAATCTATAAATGGATATTTAATGGCAGGTTCCCATTGATGTCAAGACAATAACGTGTGTCCCATACCCGGAAATTTACTTTAAAAAATAAATCAACCCAGTGAAAATTATTGTCTGGACTTAAAAGTGTGACAATCAGCCCAGTTCTCATCTATTTTCATTATTTACAATTTATCAAGGCACCAAAATACCCAGAGTTACTACAATTATGTTATAATTGTCATAATAATATGAGATGATAATAATATTCAGTCCCATTAATATGTGCTTCAACCACTGTAAGAAGTGAATTTGACATTTTTCATGAAAGTGGTGGCAAGAACTAAGTTGCCACAGTTTAACTGTGCTAACAATAACTGTAGTAACTAGTTATCATATATATACATATAAATATATACACAGATCACATATCATATTGCACATTATATATCATATTTCACATGATATTCGGGACATTGGAAAGCTCATTTCACTGAGAAACACACGTATTCACTGCTTGACCTTTAGTTACACACCATGTAAGTGTTAACACTTTTCGTGGTTTATGTGAACTAATTTGACCACTTTCTCAATGATCTTTGCCTGGTTTGAGCCATTTCTACGTTCATGAATTCATACTCCATGCTGTTGTAGCCTAGATATTTAATGCCATGCAACCCAGTTTCAATGATTAAAAGAGAAAGAGACAGCTGTAAACAAACCCTGATAACTTCCTCGCAGAAGCTGCGCACAGACTGGAGCGACGCGAGGTCCAAGTTTTTGATCACTAACTCTCCCTGATTTGCACCGGCTTGATTCTTGATGTCCTGGGCCGCCTCTTCAGCCCTCCGCCTGTCCCGACAGGCCATGATCACACGGGCCTGCAGCTTCAGCAGCTCCGCCGCCGTCGCCTTCCCGATGCCGCTGTTCGCCCCGGTCACTATCACAGTCTTTCCGCGCATCAGACTCGCTGGGTAGCTCAGTGATCTCAGCGCTTTCCGTCTGGAGAATATTCTCCGGGCAATGAGGAGAACCCCACCGCCGAGGACAGCGGCTAAAATAACCGCAGCAGACATCAGTGCAGTGTTGAATGACAGCGTGCGTGTGAGCGTCGTGGACCACATCACCCAGAATGCATTGCGTTGTTTTCGATATTGACAATTCAAGCCTTCTGGCTTATTACACGATATACAGCAGAGCTTAATCACTATAATCTCATTGAGAAGTACATTCATTCATTCATTACTGGTTACAAATGTGATGACATTTTTATATGTAGTGGATAATGACATTAGATTATGACTGGAGAATCTAATGACATCCTATTAGATGATTAAAGAGAGTATCTGAAATATTACGATATTTTACTCACATTGATTATATTCTATGCTATCAATATGATTTGTGACAGATCCTTGTATTTTCTGTGCAAACGGGTATTTATTAGCTATTATAACATATATAACAACATAACAGCATCTATGTTTCCATCAGTTTAACTGGCCACCATAAATAAATTTCATTTCTGCTTGATTTGGTATGTACTGCATGTATGTATGTATTTTTCCCTTTTTTAAAGATTGTTGTGCATTTTCTTAAAGTATTAAATTCAAAGTGGTTGGAAAAAGTGCAGTGAATGTACTGGCACCATCACTTGTACATTTAAGGCAGTATATATATATATATATATTTATTTATTTATTTTTCTCTTTTCTTTTCTCCAGCATCCCAAAAGTGAAATGAAACAAAACAATTCAATACACTTAACAATATTATTTAATTTCAAATACAAAGTGTTTAATACATAAACAGATCTTAAGTGCAAAGTTAAGAAAGCATATGCCATCGGTAAACTACAGGCCTAATAAATAAGTGTGCTATAGTGCTACACAACTAAACATATGTTAGACAACTAAAAACTTTTCATTCTGAACAAAATTGTGTGTTACCTGTAGTTCAATGTCACAGTAAAAAAAAAAAAAAAAAATATATCTTAAGTACATTCTTAAAAATATATAAACAATATATAAATACAGCAAAAAGGCTAAACACATATTCCTGTTAGTAAGTAATAATACTAGCTCATTTTAGTACAATTAGTATGTAAGTGGCACTCTGTAGATGAACAAGATCAGTGCAGATTCAAGAAAGATAGGAAGTGAATTTAAAGGAAGCAGACAAGAGGCTTAAACCTAAGGTTGCTAATAATACTGCTGGTGTGGTTGTGGTTCTTAGGACTGGCTTTCAGTGTTTGGGTCCTCGTATATGTAACTGCCAACACCTCCAGTGTTCACTCCTGAACAAAAACAGTGAAATAACATTATGCACGGGTCAAAGACGAATAGGGGTTTGCAAGCATCAAAACAATAAAAGTTAATACAGCTTTATTTTTTTATTTTTTTTACGTACAATTATGACATTAAAAGATTCAAAGTGCAGCCCCAAAATACTATTATACTACTTTATTCTTTTGTCAGCAAGAAATATTTAATCATTAAAAATGTAATAAAATGTATGATCACTTATTCTTTTATTTATTTTAATAAGTACAGGTCAGAATAATGTTGTTTCATTTTTACATAAATACAGTATATCTGTTATACTGAATGACGATGGAACATTATTTCACTCATATTTTGACATTTTATTTTCATAAATGTTATTTGAAAGTTGAAACATTGAAGTAGACACTTGCATTTAATATGCTTTCTGTGTATATAAAGTCATTTTTGTAAATTTTACTTGATGCAGTTACCAAAATGGAATGTCTCGTCAACAGACAATATACACTGTATAAAAAGAATGAAACTGGAAAACAGACAGTGGAAATGTACCTTTTGGCCCAAAGAGAACAGCGTAACAGGGTTTATGGCAGTATGGCTGGCCATCGTGCTGTAGTTTAAAACAGAACCCATGTACACTATTAAATCATACTTGTCTTCAAATGTCATTTCAAATCTGGATGCATTGCACAACAGTTTAATCTGGACATTTTTGAGCTCCACCTTTATGATATTACTAAGAGGATATATACGTTTCTACTCCATCCATACAGATACACTTTTTTTTTTCTGACCAAATTATATTTCAAATATATGTACATACAGTATGTGTGTCACACTTCACTTGGAGCACGGAACGAGGAGACACGGAGATAGCTTCAAACCACAGTCTTTTAATAATCCAAACACAAGGGGTACATAGGAGACACAGGAACACATGGAATATACAAACGGAGGTAACTGTTTCGGTCGGTTCTTCTGTCACACTTCACTTGGAGCACGGAACGAGGAGACACGGAGATAGCTTCAAACCAGTCTTTTAATAATCCAAACACAAGGGGTACATAGGAGAGGAGACACAGGAACACATGGAATGGCGTTCAGAACCGACAAACACTGACTGAAAGGACTAAGGCTTTTAAACACAGGACAATTGGGGGAAGAACTAGACACACCCGGAATCAAATTAACACAATCAACGGGAGACAGAAACTGGGTCACAGGGAGCAAAAACACACACAGACAGGTCCATAACCCTGACAATATGTTGTGCAGAGGACAATTTAAGGATTTTTTCTAGACTAAAAATATATTTAGGTAAATCATTAAATGCTTAAATAGATCACAATATGTACTTTGAGGGGCAAGAAAATAAACTTTAAATCTTAAATTACATTATGCCAAAATGTATTTTTATAATTTGCACAATATACATTTATTTAGATTCAAATATATAAAAATGTCCCTCACCTCTGCATGGCTGCCTGGAGCCAGAGTCTTGCTGCACCTCTCACAGCGCAGACAGGGCCTGTGCCAGTCTTTACCCAGGGAACTGACCTTTTCAGCTGAAACACAAAGAAGGAAACACAGGCCCTTCTGTAAGCATCAGGCAACCTCAAGAAATGCATATGTATGTCCTGGCACTGCTGAACACACAAGTTCCAGCACAAGTCCATATTTGCTGAACTTTACTGTCTGAATGTCAGCGCTTACCGAAGTACACTGTTTTGTTGCACCTTGGGCAGATGTTCGGCTGACCAGAAAACGAACTGAAGCTTGCAGCTGGAGAAAATCAGGTAAACAATTATTCTCACAAATATCATTCATTTAAATTAACATTCCATTACCATAAATGTAATAATCCTAATATTTTACAGAATTCATTATCACTACCCACTTTGTACTAAAAGTAACAGTACAAGTAGATTTGCCCATGCAAATGTTGTGGTGTTTAGGATGGTTGCAATGCAAATTGCCAAGTTTTGGGTTTGGGTTTAGCATATTGTTATGCAGATGATAGGGTGTTATTGGTGGTTTCTATGGCATTATTGGGGTGTTCTTTAAAATAACAATATTATAAAAGTGTTTCACCACAAAAACAGGATTTCCAGTAAATGATAATTAACCCGGTAAAGCCTAACATATGAATTAAAGGGATAGTTCACCCAATAAATGGAAATTGTTGGTATTGTTTTTTTAATACATTATGGAAGTCAATGGCTACCAGCAACTGTTTGGTTATCCACAATCTTCAAAATATCTTCTTTCGTGTTCAACAGAATATAGAAACTCAAATACAGATTTGAGGGTGAGTAAATGATTACATAACTTTCATTTTTGAACTCCTATCCCTGAACTATATATATATATACAGTGGGTACGGAAAGTATTCAGACCCTTTTTCTTTTTTTTTGTGTGTGTGTTTGTGTTCAACAGAAGAAAGAACTCATACAGGTTTAGAACATCATGACGATGAGAAAATAATGACAGAATTTTCCTTTTTGGGTCAACTATACTCCATATCTGAAGATCAGAGATTTCTGTGATGAAGCTGCTCTTGTGCATGCTGGCTGTCTCATTAAGAATCTGTTGCATCAAAGGAAAGAGTGTCCTACTTGCTGCAGTGCAAGCCCCATAAATTATGAACAGATGCATCAGAGACATTAATTAGATGTACTGCACCTTTTGGTCCATAGAGGGCAGCATAGCATGGCTTGTGGCAGTATGGCTTCCCATCATGCTGTTAACAGTGGATAAAACACATCACTGAGATTAATTAGGCATCCAGTTCCTGCCATCCTTGTCTGTTGTCATCAAAAATTAACACTCATGCTGTCCAAAGATTAAAGCATAAAATATTTTCAACATTTAAAGAGCAAACAACTGTACCGGCCCTTGTGAAAAATAAGTAGCCTACACTTAACATACTTTTAAAACGAGTCTTATTATGGAAAACAATACACTTTAAAAGAATATATTTAAGTGCTAATTGAATGTAATGTTCTGACACTTATTTTGTGGAATCTTAAAGTTGTATTATAAATGTATTATAGTTAAAATTTTTACTAAATGCAACTAGTTGGACTATGATATTGTCTTTGAAATATGGTTGCCAAATAATGCCAAATGAAGTGACAAGCATTTATGGTAAACTAAAAAATACCTTAATGTAATTAAACTTGTATGCCATGCATTTAAATATATTTGTAATTACACATTTGTAATGGTGACGTTGCAATTTAGTACATATAAAAATATATTTAATGCAATATCAAATAACACACTTGTTAATTGCTACTTAATTATGAGCAAGTACTTTACATGCGCTTTGTTAGTCAGCACAATAACATGAGTGCACTTCTTTAAAGAAAAAAGATTAGAAAAAACAATGATTTGACATGTATTACAAAGCAAACCCTTTATTTTGACATTATTGCAAAGTGTGCTTTGTGTTTTAAGAAAAATCATAAGGTGTACTCTCTTTAAGTGGCCTTTTATTCCATTAAAATTATCCTCAAGTACAGTTTTTTTTAAATGTACTTTTAAGATCCAGTATACACACAAAGGACACTGAAGGTGCACATTCAATGCAATTAATATGATATTTGCGAAGCATTAAGGCTCTTTGCTCTGCAAATAACAGTTTGTTGGAATCTGTGAATCATCTGCATCGTTATCTAGAACAACAACTTAAAAGTGTGAATTTTCATTATAACATGAACTTGCTAACTGTCACGAATCCAGTCTATGAACTTCCGTTCACTCACCACCAGAGGTCACCCGCTCACTACATGGACTCTCACACTACACAGACTGTTACACTATACCCTGGACTGGACTGCTCTTGTGTTTTGCCCATACCATACCTATTCGCTGGTGTTTCGACCCTGCCTGTGTTTGTGACCACATCTTTTAATAAAAGCTTTGCACATGGATCCGCACGTCTCATGTTCTGGTTACTCCGTAACACTAACATGTCAGTGCTCTTATTTTTTGAGTCTCTAAGAGTTTAAAGAGTTTGTGGAACTTTAGTTATTGATTTTAAGATATACATATTTAAAATGTATAGTCTTTAGGGAAAATTTAGGCTATGAATAAAATTTTTGACCAATCAAATATGCTCTAGAATGAGAATGTCCCTCCCCATAACACCACCAGCCTATATGCAAGTACTGAATCATGAGGTGTGTTTGACATCAACAAATTAGTCCACCCACTAATATAATGTTGCATGATGCGCATATTATTTCCCATTTTGTAAAGAACCTTTCTGCAGGTTACATTTATCTGCCAGCAGATGGCAACAAGTGATTAATTCAATCAACCAATTCATTCAATCAACTCAACCAATTCATTCAACACCAGTAGATTCATTCAGGAAACAGAAAATTGAGCAGCACTGCTCTGTGTACCGTAGTAACCAGGGTAAACACTGTATTTATTCTTTTCTATAAGTTGCACCTGTCAGGTGTGTGAATTAGCATGTTCATTCAGCCCGTCTGCCATTTTTTATGCATTGATCTGAACAGACAAATAGCATTAAAATAATAATAATACAAAAAATAATTTTTGTGCCATTGGGTTGAATATGCCTTTAGTATTAACACTATTCCTACTACATTAGTGAGTCATTGAATCTTTCACTAACCATTTTGTTCAAAAACACTGATTCATTCATGATCACAATTTAATTGAACAGCATCATGAACTGTTTTACTCACAGACTCGAAGCACGGTGATTGTGCTTTTTGCTTGTTTGCATATTTTCATTTTAGGATCAAAAATAGAAATAACTAAATAACAGTGAAAACTACGGTGGCCGAGAGAGCTCAACGCGCTGCAACTTAAGAAAACACATGCAAATAGAAAAGGCCAGCAAATTAAGAAAAAATATCTTCATCAGTTTGACAAGACACGCACTGCAAAGACTCACAACACAACCAAATACAGAAATGCGCTGCAAGTTCACACAACACAACCAAATACAGAAACTTGCTGCAAATACAGAAACTCTCTACAAATTCACACAACACAACCAAATACAGAAACTTGCTGCAAATACAGAAACTCTCTACAAATTCACACAACACAACCAAATACAGAAACTTGCTGCAAATACAGAAACTCGCTACAAATTCACACAACACAACCAAATAGAGAAATGCGCTGCAAATTCACACAACACAACCAAATAGAGAAATGCTCTGCAAATTCACACAACAAAAACAAATACTGAAACACACTGCATGTAGCACAGACCACAATGGATATTATAGTAAAAGTGTAGTAATGATGTTTTTGGCGTTTCCCATTTTCATAGTTAAACTATGGTTAGTGTAATTTGTGATTACCATGGTTTAACTATAGTAACCATGTTTTTTTTATAGTAAAACCATGGTTAATTTTCGTAAGGGAAGTTGTAAAAGTAAGTTTGCCAGCTTACATAACGTTTCACAGTTACATTAATTGTGTATTTCGTCTGCTTATTTAGGCTAATAATATCGAAAAAAGCTAAGGAATCATATGATCAGGATCGCACCTTTCAGAGTAAGTATGTCCCAGCCAAGTTCGTCACTTGTTGCGGTTCCCTTATACATTTCCAATGTGGTCTGTGCGTATTTGCAGCTCCTTTCTGTATATGGTTGTGTTGTCGGTCTTTGCAGCATGTTTCTGCATTTGCAGCACATTTCTGTATTTGGTTGTGTTGTGGGTCTTTGCAGCGCGTTTCTGTATTTGCAGCACGTTTCTGTATTTAGTTGTGTTGTGGGTCTTTGCAGCGGGTTGTGTTGTCTTTGCAGCGCGTTTCTGTATTTGCAGCACGTTTCTGTATTTAGTTGTGTTGTGGGTCTTTGCAGCGCGTTTCTATATTTGCATCACGTTTCTGTATTTGGTTTTGTTGTGGGTCTTTGCAGCGCATTTCTGTATTTGCAGCACATTTCTGTATTTGGTTGTGTTGTGGGTCTTTGCAGCGTGTTTCTGTATTTGCAGTGCCTTTCTGTATTTGGTTGTGTTGTGGGTATTTGCAGCGCGTTTCTTTATTTGCAGCACGTTTCTGTATTTGGTTTTGTTGTGAGTCTTTGCAGCTTGTTTCTGTATTTGCAGCACATTTCTGTATTTGGTTTTGTTGTGGGTCTTTGCAGCGCGTTTCTGTATTTGCAGCGTGTTTCTGAATTTGATTTTGTTGTGGGTATTTGCAGCGCGTTTCTGCATTTGGTTGTGTGAATTTGTAGCGCGTTTCTGTATTTGGTTGTGTTGTGTGAATTTGTAGCGCGTTTCTGTATTTGGTTGTGTTGTGGGTCTTTGCAGCACGTTTCTGTATTTGATTGTGTTGTGGGTCTTTGTATTTGGTTGTGTTGTGTGAATTTGTAGCGCGTTTCTGTATTTGGTTGTGTTGTGGGTCTTTGCAGCACGTTTCTGTATTTGATTGTGTTGCGGGTCTTTGCAGCACGTTTCTGTACTTGCAGCACGTTTCTGTATTTGGTTGTGTTGTGGGACTTTGCAGCACGTTTCTGTATTTGCAGCGCGTTTATGTATTTGTAGCGCATTTATGTATTTGGTTGTGTTGTGGGTTTTTGCAGCGCGTTTATGTATTTGGTTGTGTTGTGGGTCTTTGCAGCGCGTTTCTATATTTGGTTTTGTTGTGGGTCTTTGCAGCACGTTTCTCTATTTAGTTGTGTTATGGGTCTTTGCAGCACATTTCTGTATTTGGTTGTGTTGTGGGTCTTTGCAGCACATTTCTATATTTGCAGCGCGTTTCTATCTTTGGTTGTGTTATAGGTCTTTGCAGCATGTTTCTGTATTTGGTTGTGTTGTGGGTATTTGCAGCACATTTCTGTATTTGCAGCACATTTCTGTATTTGGTTGTGTTGTGGGTCTTTACAGCGCATTTCTGTATTTGCAGCACGTTCCTGTATTTGGTTTTGTTGTGGGTCTTTGCAGCGCGTTTCTGTATTTGCAGCACGTTTCTGTATTTTGTTTTGTTGTGGGTCTTTGCAGCATGTTTCTGTATTTGCAGCACATTTCTGTATTAGGTTGTCTTGTGGGACTTTGCAGCATGTTTCTTTATTTGGTTGTGTTGTGGGTCGTTACAGCGCGTTTCTGTATTTGCAGCGCGTTTCTGAATTTGGTTTTGTTGTGGGTCTTTGCAGCGCATTTCTGTATTTGGTTGTGTTGTGGGTCTTTGCAGCGCGTTTCTGTATTTGGTTGTGTTGTGGGTCTTTGCAGCGCGTTTCTGTATTTGGTTGTGTTGTGGGTCTTTGCAGCGCGTTTCTGTATTTGGTTTTGTTGTGGGTCTTTGCAGTGCGTTTCTGTATTTGGTTGTGTTGTGAGTCTTTTAGGCGCATGTGTTGTCAACTGATGAAGATGTTTTCTTAATTTACTGGTGTTTTTTTCTATTTGCATGTGTTTTTGTTTTTTTTCATTTGAGCTCTCCCGACCACGTAGAAAACTGTATCTAAAATGAAAGTTACGCAATATTAACTTCTTGTTTATTGAACTGTTGAATAAAAATATCACACTGACACACAGTTGTGCTGATGGCTGTAATACCTGCTATGGCTCCAGTTGTGCTGATATTTGGAACAACACTCTTACTTATGTAATATTGCTAAATATGACATAATATTGTAATATTTAGCAATAAAATAAAATTAAAAACTATAAATCAACATTGTGACCACATTAGATGTAATATTTGCCAGATAAATGCACATTTCAATGACATGCAGCAGCTTCCAGTTCAGTCAAACATATACATGAAAGAAAGGTGCATTTAATGCGATCTTTATCTGCAATGCTTTCTTTTTCTCAGTTTTTTAGCTGTCTTCCTCTCACCTCTGCATGTCCTCCTGGATTTAGGGTCTTGCTACAGCGTTCACACTTGAGACAGAATTTGTGCCAGTCTTTTCCCAGAGATGTCACTTTCTCCGCTATAAGACACAAATAGATTTATTCCCTTTACAGATCATCATTCATCTGAGGATGTACATTAAGATTATGGTTTAAGGGGCTCTTTGAATAAAAGTGTTAAAACTCTCCCCTGAAGCCACTATCTTCATTATAACAATTGAGCTGAAATTACTCCGTAGAGACTCTTACTGTAATGATGCCTGGCAAAGATCAGAGATTTTATGAAATGGTAGTTTGAGTCTCGTCTGACTGTGTCTCGTCAGAAAAATAAAATAAAAAAAAACTATCTATCTTGGTCCACCTAAATGTGTTTATCCATTTAGTCTTTTATCAATGCGCCTCTTAATGTGTCTAACTAAGTCCACTGAGAGATAATGTGAAGTCTAATGTCCGTCTGTTTACTGTCTCATCGAGGATGTCAGGGAGATGTGAAAACACTATCATAGAGTGAAAGGTTCTTATCAAATCTGGATGCATCATATCGAGGCTGGAATATTCCAGGCATGTGCCTCAGGGAGCACAGAACACCCTCATGAGCCGTTCTCCACAGAGCAGCGTCACGTCACTGTGAGTCAAGACTGAACAACAGCACAATAACATTTTAGGTCAAACTTTGAGAAATCCATTCAAGGATGTTTTTGTTTATTTTTGTGTGTTCTATTGCAGGATTGCCTCAGGGTAACAAATCCATTTTCTTCATTTTGCAAGCACATGATGCATATAAGGCAATAAAACTGCTAATAAAGAAGGCATGCCTTTGAATAAACTGATAAAACGGTTTTCTTTTATTACATTCTTTACATTTTATTATTTGTCATATGTCAATTTAAGATTTCTATCTATCTATCTATCTATCTATCTATCTATATATATATATATCTATACATCCATCCATCCATCTATCTTTACATCACCGTAACACACAAGTGTTATACATGTTTTTATGTAATAATTATATGTTATACCCACTATATGTTATAAAAGATTTCTATTTTAAATAAATGCTGCTCTTTTGAAATTTCTATTCATCAAAGAATCCAGAAAAAAATATATCACGGCTTCCACAAAAATATTAAGCAGCACAACTGATTTTTTTAACATATATACAAGAAATGTTTCTTGAGAAATTCAGTATATTAGAATAATTTCTGAAGGATCGTATGACACTGAAGACTGGAATAATGATGCTGAAAATTCATCTTTGGCATCACAAATACAAGTTAAATTAAAATAGAAAACAGTGATTTTAATTTGTAATAATATTGCACAATATTACGGTTTTTACTGTATTTTTGATCAAATAAACACAGCCTTGGTGAGCATAAGAGTCCTCTTAGTGAATTTAAGAGAAATTAAAATAAAATGTAACCTATTAGCCAGTTCTAGTTTCTGTGATGTATCAGTTTGACAACTTTCCATTGCCATGTAGTTTTGTTTCCAGGCAACTAGCTAAAATGGAAATATATTTATTTATTAAAATATTACATTATTATTTTTAGATTATTTTAATAATATTATTTATAAAAAAAATTATTTTTGCTTTTATGATGTCTATTTTATGCTAAGTGCATGCATTATCACCTTTTGTCTTCAATCGGATCTATTTTCTTCTCCATATTTCTGCTCACAAACAGACATACCCACACAGCAGGGCATTAACAAGATTAAAAACTGAATGTTTTTTTGTGGTGCAGCAGACAAATGCGCGGGAGTTGAACAGACAGTAATTAGTTATTGTCTCTGGACTTGTAGTTCTGCTTAATGCTTTCATGATGCTCTCTTAACCTGAGTATCAAATGAGCTGTTTCCATAGTGAGGATATATGCATGGCAAATTGCAGTCTGACAGAAAGTTACAGAGGTTGCAAGCACTTCAGAATCAAAAGAGAAAAAAAGTTTTGGAAATATTACTGATAAATAATCTTTTCAATAATACACTTTTATGGATCAAAAAAGGATTTTAAAGGAATAGTTCACCCACAAATGAAAATATTAAATTTTGAAAATTTACTCACCCTCAGGTCATCCAAGATGTAGATGAGTTTGTTTCTTCACCAGAACAGATTTGGAGAAATTTAGCTATAAATCACTTTAGCTTTGCATCACCACACAACTCCAGTCCGTCAATTAAAGTTTGGAAGAAACAAATCCATCATTAAGATGTTCTGAACTTTAAACAATTGCTTCTGGCCAAAATACCAGTCTATAACCCATAATAACACTTCCTCCAGTGAAAAGTCCATCCTTTGTTGCCCTCTCTGGTGTTTAATGTTTTGGACTGTTTTCACTTGTAAACGGTGCTTGATCTGTGCATATTTATCTCCTGATTCAGACAAGATGACATTTTTACAAAGAAAGCAATATTATTGATAGAGGACTCATATTTATGCCAGAAGCAATGGTTTGAAGTTAAAAACACCTTAATGATAAATTTGTAAATTGTGTAAAACACAGCATTCTTCTTCACAAGACGTTAACTGATGGGCTGGAGTCGTGTGGATTATTGTGATGTTTTTATCAGCTGTTTGGACTCTCATTCTGACGGCACCCATTCACTGCAGAGGATCCATTGGTAAGCAAGTGATGTTGCTAAATTTCTCCAAATCTGTTCCAATGAAGATACGTACAAACTTATCTACATCTTGGATGGCCTGAGGGTGAGTACATTTTTTTTTTTTTTCATTTTTGGGTGAACTGTTCCCTTTAACCACTGACTGGAAAGAGAAAGGCAAACTGCTGTTAGATGGCACAATTATGTGGGCAAAAAGCATGTTTCTAAAGCCATTTAAAGATAACCGTGTGCCAGGTTGCATACTTAAAGGTTGTTTGCGGCATTCAAGTGAATAGGAATGCTTTCTCAGGTCACAGCTGCTAAAGTCTCAAGAGAGCGAGTAGCAGCCAGAGACAAAGTGGATCTCACATTTTAATTATTATAGCGCTCAGTGGGAGGGAGTCAGCTCAGCATATGATATTAAGCACAGACACATTTTTAATCTGCCAATCATTCATGTTGATTTTCTGCCTTAAAAAGACAAAGTATAGCCTTGTATTAATTGTATGTAATAATTTTAGCTGACAGCTGTTAATGATAAATAATAAATTGATATAATGAGTAATTACGCACTGGGGACAAACGCCAAATGGCACCTGCACTTTAAAATAATTTAGGCCTAGTTACATTTAATCAGAGAAGATAAAGAACATGAAAAAGGAGCAGTTTAACATTTTCCAATGAATCAAAATGTGTTGCACACCCCATTCACAGGAGGCTTTTTGAATGAAGGGAAAGTAAAGGCCCATAAATAAGGTATAGACTGGACAGGAGAGGGTAGAGAATGTTTACCGGACCCATAAAATGGGTCAAATCAGATTGACTGCTGGCTATTCCATCTAGTTAGTGGTTACATTTCAATTTGTGATGGTGTATTGGTTGACACTAATTAAATACTTGTTTCACTCATGGCTGTTAACATTTAAAAAAAATATTGATATTATCTGATATTGAAAATCCACCACCCACCTAATTATTATTTTTGCATGTTTTACAGTCACCCGTTTTAACCAAAGAATAAGTTCTAGTGCAATAGGATTATCAGCTTTAATAGTGTAATGTAATATATACTTTCATTCATCCCGATTCTGCATTTCATGCTTCATCCATAATCAAATCAGAAAACTCTCTCTACATACACATTGGTGATTCATGGATCTTATTTCACTGCACGAGCTCAATATTTATGGTATCTCAAATACCATGCAGATAAAATACTCAGCAGATTAGCTGCGCCGTCTAATGCAGAAATCATGTGGATCTTAATAAGAAAACCAATTCATTTACTAAGAATAACGTGCACCCGTGAAAAGCCAGGTAATCACCATCGAGCCCACGCTGTGTGGTTTGCAGACGTTGTTTACAACGCATGCGAGAATGAAAATAATGAAAGTACATTCAGACACTACACGACATCTACGGTGCAGTCGTTTCAGCCTGGCGCGTGCATTGTTTTATCCGTGGCTTTGCAAAATAGAAGAAAAATGAACAACTTACCAAAATAAACAGTTTTGTCACATTTGGGACATTTTGATGCCATGTTCCGTGCAAATCTGGGATTTCCTTTGATTTAAGCACGTTTTCTTTTATATAGATCTGACTGAGTGGATGCGACTCGCTCGTTCTCAGCGATGCTCAAAGCGCGAGCGCATCCTCCCTTTCAAGATCGCCAGCGCGGATCCTCCCTCGATGACGTCAGCGGGCTAGTGAATGTGCTCACCCTTCATTTCATTAGACTACCGATTTCAGCGCACTCCCCCTCTTTCTGCGGAGCTACACAGCATACATAGACATCATGTCAAAAACCTTATCATTTCTGGCAAGTTACCTGTTTCACCTGAACACTACATATAGGCTACTACACTGATAAACAATTCTTATATTATTAGTTTTATTGCCAGGTTTACACATACAAGGTATTTGTTTTGGTGACAGAAACGTCCACAGCACAAACAGAATGACAGCGACAAGACAGATAATAAAAATAGAATAAGTAGTATGAAATAGCAATATACAAGAATTTGAAGAAAAAAAATTATATATACAGGTGCATCTCAATAAATTAGAATGTCGTGGAAAAGTTAATTTATTTCAGTAATTCAACTCAAATTGTGAAACTCGTGTATTAAATAAATTCAATGCACACAGACTGAAGTAGTTTAAGTCTTTCTTTGAATGTGAGCCAAAATCATCACAATTAAAAGAACCAAAGACTTAATCTACTTCAGTCTGTGTGCATTGAATTTATTTAATACACGAGTTTCACAATTTGAGTTGAATTACTGAAATAAATGAACTTTTCCACGACATTCTAATTTATTGAGATGCACCTGTATATATATATATACAAAATAGACAATAGATGGAATTTGGTGTGTTATGTACAAATGCAAGGAAATGTGACTAAGAAGTATGGTGTGTTAAATAAATAAATGTATGAATAGTGTTGTGTGTTACATGTTTATTGCCAAGTTAACAGTTTATGAGATGGATTGTTCTTATGCCTGGCTGTTCTGGTGCACAGTGCACTGTAACGCTGACAAGACGGCAACAGTTCAAAGAGGAAGAGGACTGGGTGTGAGGGGTCCAGAATGATTTTGCCAGCTCTTTTGCTCACTCTGGATCAGTACAGTTCTTGGAGAGAAGGGAGGGTTGTACCAGTGATTCGGTCAGCAGTCCGGACTATCCTCTGTAGTCTTCTAAGTCAGTTTTGGTAGCTGAGCTGAATCAGACAGTTATTGAAGTGCAGAGGACTGATTCAATGACTGCAGAGTAGAACTGTATCAGCAGCTCCTGTGGCAGGTTGAACTTCCTCAGCTGGTGAGGGAAGTACAGCCTCTGCTGGGCCTTCTTGACAATGGAGTCTTATATGTGGAACTCCTACTTCAGGTAGTTTTGAGCGTGTTCAGGTTGTTAAGACTGCACCAGACAGCCAGCTCTTTAACCTCCTGTCTGTAAGCAGACTCGTCACCGTCCTGGATGAGGCTGATAAGTGTGGTGTCGTCTGCGAACTTCAGGAGCTTGACAGAGGGATCCTTTGCAGTGCAGTTGTTGGTGTAGAGAGAGAAGAGCAGTGGGGAGAGCACACATCCCTGGGGGGCACCAGTGCTGATGGTGCGGGTGCTGGATGAGAATTTCCCCAGCCTTACTAGCTGCTGCCTGTCTGTCAGGAAGCTGATGATCCACTGACAGATGGAGGTGGGCACAGATAGCTGAGTTAATTTGGACTAGAGGAGGTTTGGGATGATAGTGTTGAAGGCCGAGCTGAAGTCCACAAACAAAGTCCCTGGTTTGTCCAGATGTTGTAGGATATAATACAGTCCCATGTTGACTGCATCATCAACAGGCCTGTTTGCTCAGTAAGCAAACTGCAGGGGGTCCAGTAAGGGTCCAGTGATGTCCTTCAGGTGGATTAGCACCAGTCTTTCAAATGACTTCATGACCACAGACATACATCATAAATATTACAGACTACTTATCTATCTATGAAATACATCCTATGTCAATAATGTAATATGACTTCATGTGTAATAGGACTTTATGAAATTAGTTATAAAGTGGAATAGGAGGGATGCAAGTAGATGCAGACTGTCTGTACTGGTCACATTTTCAGGAGAAAGATGCGCATTTGATGTTTACATTCAGATTTCATGCAAATATGCCTCAGACCTACACAATTATTTAAATGCATTCTTTTTTGTTGAATAATTACATATAATTTTTTTACCCTATTTATTTGTCATAAATCAATGTTTTAATTCAGATTTCTGTATTTAATTGTGTTTAATTCTGTATTTATCATTACGGTATGATACGGTGCTATTATTTCAATTTTAAATTAATTTGTTGTTTAAATTAATTTAAATTAATTAATTTTTTATTATTTTATTAATGAATTAATAGTTTTATTAATACATTTTTAATTAGTTTTTAAGTAATTATTTAATTTAATTTTTTAATTTTTTTAATTAATTTTAATCCACATAATAGGTCACACACAAAGGCTACAGCATATTTTATACAGCAGGACTAGGGCTGCACGATAAATCGCATGCGATATTTAACGCGCAAAAAAAATCGAGCGGGACATATGCAAAAAAGGCCTAATTTGAAGACTGAATAAATAACTTAGACATAGGCCTACCCATTGTTTTTTTGACCCTCTTATAGAAGACAAAGCGAGAGAGAGGATAAGAGGATGCCGTATGTGTGAGATACAAATGGACAGAATGCTACTGACACATTGCAACTGTTTGCATTTATCCATGTTGACCCTTGTATGCCATTACAGTGCTGTTTACAGAACTTGAATAACAACTGAAAAAATTAGATGAGTAAAGTTTGCGAACAAACTTTGAAATTGGCTTGAAAAATCCTTGACTGAAAGTTTGAAGCAGTTGTAAAAGCTTGAAGTTTTAAAGTTTAGATAGATTAGACAGATGTTGATGGCATGTTGCTACCATGTTTCCAGCATGATTAACATGTTGCTAGCATGTTTTTAATGTGATTAACATGGTGCTAGCATGTTTGAGCACAATTAGCATGTTGATAGCATGTTTTTTTAACATGATTAACGTGTTGTTAGCATGTGTTCAGCATTATTAACATGTTGTTAGCATGATTAGCATGTTGCTAGCATTTTAATGCATGATTAACATATTGTTAGCATTTTACCACAATTAACATGTTGCTAACATGTTGTTAGCATGATTATCATGTTAGCATGTTACTTAGCATGTTACTAGCATTATTAACGTGTTGCTAGCATGATTAGCATTTTGCTAGCATGTTTTTTTGTATTATTAGTTTGGTATATTAGTGCAACTGTGTTACATGTATTACAGTATTTCCATTGTGCGCATGAGCTGTGAGTTGTATCAGCACCAGGCTGACGAAGTTAACAAACAGTAAAGACGGCATACGTTATAGCTCCGTGTCTCTCTGTCTTTTCTCCCATAAAATACTACAGTGGCGACGAGGATATTGATTCCACAGCGAAGCAAAGTGATAGTAGTTCATGTGCAAGTGAGTTTGCAATACTACAGAAATTGTTCGCCAGTTTTTGAAGCAACTAGAAACTGAAAGTCTGCAACGGATCGCACAGCTTGATGGCGGAGATAAGTCAAGCTGCAGCTCCAGAAAAGCGGAAGAGTGGCATTTAGTGGCCATTGCGGGTACTTCGTGAAGAAATTGCAAGTACAAGGAAACGGATATGAGAGAAAATAAACAGGAATAAATAAATAAAAATTCTGAATTGCACGGAGGTGATAAACAACAGAAAGTGACAGCAAAATGGCAATGATTGGCAGAGTTCCCGAATTTGAAAGTAAGAAAGAAGATTTTGAAACTTAGAGCGATTTGAAAGATGGCTTGCAGCAAATGACATTGCAGCAGAAAAGAAAGCAGACGTGTTTCTGAGTGTCTTGGGTCCCACAGAGTATGGACTACTGAAGAATTTGAGTCAGCCAAGGAAAGTGACCGATCTGACATATAAAGAAATGACTGAAACATTGTCACTGCATTTTCAGCCAAAACCAATACTGATCGCCGAACGCTTCCGATTTCACAGACGATATCAAAAAGAAGGTGAAACATTAACAGACTATATTGTTGATTTGAAAAGACTTGCTAGCACATGCGAGTTTGGCCAGTTCCTCAATGATGCACTGAGGGATCAGTTTGTATGCGGTATGTCAGGCGAAGCTTACCGTAAACGTCTCTTATCTGAGAAGGATTTAACTTTTAAACAAGCCTGTGAAATTGCTCTTGGCTTGGAACTGGCATATAAGGATACAAAGGAGTTGACAGAACGTGCTGACCTTTCCAGTGCTGGTGTTCACGGTGTAGCCAGCTATTCACGGGGAAAACAGAAAGACAAACCGCAGAGAGGGTCTTCTCATTCAAGTTTCGCTGCATCAAGTAGATCGGCACAGAGCTTTTCAGCCAGACGAAAAATGACTTGCCATCGTTGCGGTAGAGAGGGTCGTCAGCCACAGGAATGCCATTTCCGCACTGCAATATGTCATGCATGTGGTAAAACAGACCATTTGAAAAAGGTCTGCAAAAGCAGTAAACGAGCTGTTAAAGCCCAGTTAGTGACAGCCACAACCGAGGAATTAAGTGCTTCTGAGGATGCATTTGAACTTTTCACAGTTTACACTGCTCAAGGACAGAAAGATGGACTATATCTGCAACTGGAACTCTCAGGGTAGACAGTAACCATGCAGATTGACACTGGTGCATCTGTATTTCTAATTCCAGAATCGGTATACAAAGAGCTCCTACTTGACTGCCCCTTGCAGCCAGTCGAAATTCATCTCTCATCGTATACTGGTGATACAATTCCAGTGCTGGGAGAAATCCAAGTGCCAGTCCAGTACAATGGAAATGAGTGGACACTGCCATTGATGGTAGTCAAGGGTGACAAAACTCCATTACTGGGACGAAATTGGCTGCAGAAGATTAAACTGGACTGGGGTAAGATTTTCAGCCTAAAACAAGAGATAGCAACTCAGCCCTCTCTCAAAGCTGTTTTGGACAACCATAAGGATCTTTTTAAAGATGGTTAGGGAAAGATCAGAGATTTCCGGGCAAGAATCCGAGTGAAGCGAGATAGTAAACCAATATTCCATAAGTCACGACCTGTCCCATATGCTCTGAGGGAAGCAGTAGAGAAGGAGTTAGAGCGGCTACAAAGACATGGAATCATCACTCAAGTGGAACGAAGTGAT